CATGTGTTTGTGGGCTTTCTGGAATTAGTGCTGCTGTTGAATTCTAATTTTAAGCCATGGTGATTCGATAAGATACATGGGGTTATTCCAATTTTTTGTATCTGTTGAGATTTGCTTTGTTACTTAGTATGTGGTCAATTATTGAGAAGGTTCCATAAGTTGCTGAGAAGAAGGTATATTCTTTTGTGTTCAGGTGGAATGTTCTATAGACTTCTGTTAAGTCCATTTGAGTCATAACATCTGTTAGTTCTTTTATTTCTCTGTTAATTTTCTGTCTGACAGACCTGTCCAGTGGTGATAGTGGGCTGTTGAAGTCTCCCACTATTAGTGTGTGGGGTTTAATGTGTGATTTAAGCTTTAGAAGTGTTTCTTTTACATATGAGGGTGCCCTTGTATTTGGGGCATAGATGTTCAGTGTTGAGATTCCTTCTTGATGGATTTTTCCTGTGACTAATATGAAATGTCCTTTATTTGTCTCTTTTGACTGATTTTAGTTTGAATTCTATTTTGTTGGATTTTAGGATAGCTACACCAGCTTGTTTTTTAGGTCCATTTGATTTAAAAATTTTTTTCCCAACTCTTTACTCTGAGGCAATTTCTGTCTTTGTGGTTGAAGTATGTTTCTTGTATACAGCAGAAGGATGGATTCTGTTTTTGTATCCAATCTGTTAACCTGTTTCTTTTTATAGGTGAGTTGAGTCCATTTATATTAAGGGATATTAATGACCAGTGATTGTTAGCTCCTGTTATTTTAGTTTTCACTGTTGGTGATATTATTGTGTGTGTTTTCCCATTCTTTGGGATTTGCTGCTGTGAGGTCATCTATTTTCTGTGTTTTTGTGGATATAGCCAACTTCCTTGGGTTGGAGTTTTCCTTCTAGTACTATGTGTAGGGCTGGGTTTGTGGCTAGGTATTGGTTAAATCTGTTTCTCTTTTGTCCCTCTATGGTGATTGAACATTTTGCTGGATATAGTAGTCTGGGCTGGCATCCATGGTCTCTTAATGTCTGCATAACGCTTGACCAGGACCTTCTTCTTTCACTGTTTCCATTGATAAGTCAGGTGTAATTCTAATAGGTCTGCCTTTACATGTTACTTGACCTTTTTTCTTTGCTGTCTTAATATTCTTTCTTTATTCTCTGTGTTTAGTGTTTTGATTATTATGTGGCAAGGGGACTTTTTCTTTTTGATCCCGTCTATTTGGTATTCTGTAAGCTTCTTGTAACTTCATATGCATATCTTTCTTTTGGTTGGGAAAGTTTTGTTCTATGATTTTGTTGAACATATTTTATGTGCTTTTGAGTTGGACTTCTCCTTCTTGTATCCTTATTATTCTTAGGTTTGGTCTTTTCATGGTATCTTATATTTCCTGGATACTTTGTGTTAAGCTTTTGTTAGATTTAATGTTTTCTTTGACCAATGAGTCTGTTTCCTCTATTGTATCTTCAGTGCTTGAGATTTTTTCTTCCATTTCTTGTATTCTGCTTTTTATGCTCGCATTTGTGGTTCCTGATCATTTTCTCCTTTCTCTGTTTCTATAATTCTCCTGGTTTGTGTCTTTTTAATTGTCTCTGTTTTGGTTTTCAAGCCTTGAATAGTTTCTTTCATCTGATTGTTTTTTCTTGGTTTTCTTTAAGGTATTTATTTATTTCTTCCAGTTTTTTTATCTCTCCATTTCTTTGAGAGAATTTTTCATTTCCTCTTTAAGGCCCTCAAACATTCTCCTAAAGTAATTTTTTTAGGTCATTTTCTTCTGCTTCATCTATATTTGGTTGTTAAAGTCTTGCTATTATAGAGCCACCAGCTTTGGTTGGTGTCTTGTTCCTCTTTGTGTGTGTTCTTACCATGTCTATCCATCTTTTCTCTGATTGGTGTAGTTGGGGCTGTATCTCTGGTGACCAATCTTCTAGGTGCCAGTGGATCCAAGGCTCAGATGGTTGCTCCTTGTGGTGCAGTCAGAGCCACAGTTCCAGTCACTCTGGAGATCATTAGCTGTTCCTGGAGATTTCTCAGTGCTCCCAGGGGGTGCTCTGTAATACCGGGGGTCCTTTGGGCCTGCTCCCTCAGCAGCTGTTCCCACATACCTGCTTCTATGGAGGTTGTTGCCTCAGCCTGCTCCATAGAGACTGCTGCTTAGTGCCTGCTCAGGGTTCTCTGGCTGAGGCCGGTTCCCTTGGAGGTCATTGTGTCAGGAGTATGCTAGTGGAGGTCCTGGTTCAGGCTGGTTCCCTTAGACGTCCCTGACTTGAGCCTGCTCCTGCAGTGGAAGTCTCTGACTTGGGCCTGCTCCTTCAGAGGTTGCTGCCTGGGGCCTGCTCTGCTGAAGTCTCCTTCTAACCCTGAGGGAGGATATTCTAATAGAACACTGTGCCCCTCCCTTTGGCTATCAGACTATCGAGACAGTAGACTTCCTAGGGATTAGAATTTCCTCAGAACTCTCCTGCTGGGAGAAGAAAAGGTCTGGGAGCCTGGTGTCAGCCCAAGGGGGAATCTCCTCTCAGAGAGATTCCATGCAGTTCTAGATGTGGGTAAGAATCTGGAGGGCATCGACTGAGATTTCCAGGTTCTTGTGTTCCAGAACAAAGAATTGGTCCAGGAATGTTATTACTTTGGGACACTTTAAGAACTAACCACGCCCACCCCAGCTACTTCTGACCCCACCTCCCCTCGCCGCCATCTTTTCTCTGGTGTGTGTGTGTGTGTATGTGTGTCTTTGTTTTCTCTATGTTTGTCTATGTTTCCCTTTAAGTAATAAATGTCTAGCTTTATGTATAGCTTTATGTCCATTTACTCTGCCATCCACCGCATCCAGCCGCCTGACTCTGCCGCTCGCCTGGGAACCCTGCATGCTTTGGCGGCAGCAGCCTCTGTCTGGCTCGCATGCCGCCCGGGATATCCCAACATCTTATTATTTTTAAAAAGAACAATAAGGAACGTATGGACGGTAATAGAAATCGAGGCAGTTTGTTGAAAAAGAGACAGGCACTCCAAAGAATGGAGTAGGCTAGAGAGCTGACGCAAGCAGATTCCCAACAGGCAGAGCATCATGGCCCTTTGTAGGTCATTCAACAGCATCCACCTTTCGATGCTTCTTCACACCTCTATTCCACTGCCATAACTGAGCAATCTCAGACCACCTTATAGGACAAACTGGAGTTCTGACAGCTACGAGTTAATAATGGGTGGGACCACACATTCACCAGAGCTGATAAATTATGCATACCCCTTACCGTTTATTTAAACCTAAACCTCGTGTTAAGACCGAAAGATTGACTGCTTGAAAATGTGAAAACGTAAGTTTAAAAATACTGCACAAAATACAGGCTTGAATGTGTACTTCAGCGAAGTTTGAGTGTCCCTGTGTGTCCTAAGGTTTGAAGGACTCTGATGTGCATTGCACACTACCCTGCAGACTTAGTTGAACACACTGCATGCACACACTGCACTGCTTATGTGGTTTCTGCACACACGCCAGCTTAGGCTGAAGTTTGCTCATACTCTCATGGTCCTAACAGAAGACACAGGTGGATAGACCACTAGACAAGACTCCAACATACATGACCGTGACGTACAAGTGAGTTTTGGTGTCAGGAAGAAAACAGGAGATAGCAAATATTATTATTTAGATATAAAATGTTTCTCCAAAAGGCTCATGTTGTCAGCTGAGTCTGTGTTTTAGATATTTTGCTCTTGTTGCTATCATAACACCCAACAAAAAGCAATTTAAGGAAGGAAGGGTTTTATCACAGTTTGATGGTTTGATAGTGCAGTATATCATGACAGGGGAGGCATGACCCCCAGAACATGAGACCGCTGTTCATATTGTGTCCACGGTTGGCAGGGAGGGGGGAGACAGACAGACAGACAGACAGACATAGACACACAGAAAGAGACAGAGAGGACAGAGACAGAGAAGAATGCTGGGGATTCAGCTCTCTCCTTTTTACTAAGTCCAGATTCCAGCTCACGAAATGGTGCCACCCAATCTAGAACAGGTCTTCTGACAGTTGACCCAGCCTATGCACTCCCTCACAGGCATGTCTGGAGGGTGGTCTCTTAAGGGATTCCAGAGCCAGTCAAGTTCATAATCCATATGACCACAGCAGTCCCCAGCATGAGTAAGACTTCAGGGAGCCAACTAGATCAGGAGGGGACGGATTCATAAATTGAACAGATTAGTGATAAGCAGTAGACATGCTAGGAGGTGGAGCCTGAAGGAAGGAGGCTGCATGGGTGCAACTTTAAAGGGTACATTGTCTTCCCAGTCCCACTCCCCTCTTCCACTCCCTCTTTCTCTCTTTCCCTCACCTCCTCCCTCTCTAGTGTCCTCTCCTCATTCATCGCTGCCCTGAGGTAAGCAGCTCTGCTCCATCTTGCCTCCCCATGATGTTCTGTTCCACCACAGTCCAGTGCAGGGCAATCAGCCCACGTTAAACTGCATGCTTCAAAACTGACAGTTAAGATTCGTTTTTCTTCCTTTGTGCATGTGTATATATGTGCATGTGGCTTATGCACATGTTTGTTTGGGTTTGTGTACATGTCTTTTGGGGAGGTGCAGGGCAGGGAGGTACCCTTTGGAGCAAAGGTGTGGGATGCCAGGGAGAATTTGGTAACTCCACTTTGGTGGTGTGAACCAGGAAATAGCTAGTTTAAAATACCATTTATTTATTTATTTAGGTGTTTCCAGTCTGAAGTTTAGTCTTACCTTTTAGTGTGGTGGCTCGAATGAGGACGGCTCCACAGGCTCATATATTTGAACGTGGGCTCCCAGTTGGTGGGCTGTTTAGGAAGGATTAGGAGGTGGCCAGGCCTAGTCTGCCTACCTCCTGCCTGTATGGATCAGGTTGGAAGCTCTCTACTTCTGCTCCAGCGTCATGCCTGTCTGCTGCCATTCTTCCTGCCATGATGATCATGGACTAACTCTTTGTGACTGTAGAGAAGCAAGCCCCCAGTTAAACGCCTTCTTTTGTAAGTCACCCTGGCATGGTGTCTCTTCACAGGACTAGAACAGTGACACAGTGACATGGCAATCATCGTGCTGTGCGAGGCAGTGACAGTGGCTGTGGCCCCACAGGGGGTCGTCATCCTCACAGAGGACATCACGCACAGGTCAGTGCTCAGGACACCGTCCCTTGTCACCCTCTCCTCGCAATCCGGAAGCCAGGGATGGATGTTACTGGAAATAAGACTTCTGTTCACAACCTTTCAAAACAACATGCAGTACTGGAGAGACAGCTAGGTGGTTAAAAAAAATATCCTGTGCCAGGTGTGGTCACGCACACCTTTAATCCCAGCATGTGGGAGGCAGAGGTGAGCAGATCTCTGTGAGTTCAAGGCCAGCCTGGTCTACAGAGAGAGTTTCAGACAGCCAGAACTGTTATACGGAGAAACCTTGTCTTGAAAAATCAAAAATAAGGGGCTAGAGAGATGGCTCAGAGGTTAAGGAAACTGACTGCTCTTCCAGAGGTCCTGAGTTCAATTCCCAGCAACCACATGGTGGCTCACAACCATCTGTAATGAGAACAATGAGATCTGGTGCCCTCTTCTGGCCTGCAGTCATACATGGAGGCAGAACACTGTATTGTATACACAATAAATAAAATCTTTAAAAAAAAAAAGAAAAGGAAAAATTAAAAGCAAGAACAAAAAAGAAGGAAGGAAGGAAAGAAGAAAGAAAGAAAGAAAGAAAGAAAGGAAGGAAGAAAGAAAAAATGAAGAAAGAAAGATTATCCTGCTCTCCCAGAGGATCTGGGTTCAATTCCCACATCAAGCAATTCACTAGCAGTCTGTAACTCTAACCCCAGGGGATCCACTGCTGTCATTTCTTGTGTGCACACATCCACTCACTGACACACAAACACATCATTTAGAAAATAAAGTCCATCACCAAAACAAAACGGTGAGGAATGTAGGTGCAGACTTCGCAGGGATAAATGGATTTCCTGTTGCTGAGATAAAGTATCCAGGGCAACAGACAGTACACATACTTGCAAGAAACACTGCAGGCCAGGGTGACGTGCTGAAGCCCTGAGGGCTGGAGAAGGGATTCTGATGACCGAAGAGGCCCGCGTGCAAGACTGAGCGCAGCAGACTCAGGCAGGGATGAAGATGCGAAATAGGTGGATTCACAAATGTCTACTCATAAGTATTTGTCTACAGTCTCTTTAATGAATAATTCACCATGCAATGCAGTTACACATTCTGTAAGGTAATGAAGTTCAGTTCAGCCAGCTGGTGGCTCCTGCACAGCCAGCGGGCAGCGCTAACTTAATGTGGTCTCAGTGAACACTGTTAGCTTTCCTCTCCCAGTGTGTTCCTGTTTTAGTGATGTTCTTAACGCATGACAACACAACTCAGTAACTGAGGGCAGCGACTTAAAGATTACTCCTGCCTTCTCCATCTCTCCCATACCCTGGATTTACTTCCAAAATACTTTTTGTTTACTTTTGATATAGTGTTTCTTGTACCAAAGATTGAACTGGAACTCACCGTGTAGCAAGATGGCCTCCACTTCTGAGTCTCCACTTCCCAGGTGCTAGGATTACAGATGTATCCATCCCATCATGCCTGGTTTATGTGGTGCTGGGGATAGAACCCAGGGCCTCCCCCTGTCCCGTCCCGCGCTACCGTCTCGCCAGCAAGAACCACGCGGTACACATAGGATCCTTCTGCAGAAAAGCTTTATGTCTCTTGGGAGCTAGAGCATAAGCCACATGGCGGAGACCCAGATAAGATGGAACCCATCCCTTATAAAGGAAACAGACCCTGCTTCGGACGTGTCACTCTTGGATTGGTCCATTGTCCATAATCCCAGGTGAATGCCTCGGGAGTAGGCGGGGACTCAGTGGGAAATTACCGAGCACATGTGCGTTCACCTGGCGGTGAAGCCGGATGTCAGCGCCATCTTGATAATGGAGAATGTGGCTGCGGCCTTCTACGTCTCCCCCTAATTTTACTTCTTTGCAGAAAGGCAACTCCCTAGGAAGGTAAAGATAGAGGTCGCACTTCCCAAAATAGAAACATTAAAATGGGCTTACACGGAATCTGTCCCTAGGCTCATGACACCTGGAACCTATCCGGCCTGCCCTTTGCCAATTTTCTGGGAAAGGGAATATACGGCAGGAAACCCTTAAGCAAAGCGACTTATCTCTCAGAGAGGGCCATTCTCTGTGCGATGCTCTTCAGCTCAACAACCTTCAGGGCTAGCTAAGCCAAGCACTCCACCCTGTGCAATGGACCACAGTCCTAGGGGTGCAGGAGCTGGTTGGCTTAAACCTTACTGCTTTAACATAAATAACCACACATCAGTAGAGGCCCCCTGTTCCAGGGCAGCCAGCGCTTGTGCAATAACCACTTTGTCCCTACGATTTTGGGATTTGAGTCAGCAGACCATCCAGAGGAGAAACACTAATCCATAGCATAGGACTGTTCCAAAACATTTCCACCCCCACCCATTCTTTGAAGTAGGGGAAGAAAGACACGACCCAGGACTGTAATCCTATGGCCAAGCTTATAAATCATCTCTAGGACGGTAGGGGGAGGGGGCCCAGAGTCATATTGGTTGTAAAAAGTCAAGGAAGCACCGCCATCCTATGGCTGACTGGTAACAGCTTCGGGAAAGCTGAGAGTGTCCTCCATCGGTGCTCTGTCATCCATCTGCAAAATGGCAGGAGGAACAGCAGCCAGGTCCTCAGGCGAATCCGTGTGTTGTGGATCACTCTTCACTGTTCGGGTCAATCGCTCTGGCAGCCAGAATGGGCTTTCTTGATCCTGTGGGAAGACACAAACAGCTCCCCTGGATCTCAATAAGATGGGATCCGGGCCTTTCCATTCATTAGAAAGCACATCTTTCCACTTAACCAAATCTTTGGGCCGCTGCGGATCCGAACAATGTCGTGTTGTAGCATTTTGGCCATTATCATCCAGATTTAAAAAATTTATGGTGAACAGAGCCATGGCGATGGCCATTCTTGGCATCGGGGGCAGTTCCTTTATATTATTCCCCCCCTTTTTGTTTAAATAGATATTTATCCAATTCTTAATTTGAATAACCATGGCATTTTGTAACCTATCTTGAAGATACCCATAGTGTTTAGCAGAAATAACTGACAGGATAAGGGAAACTGATAGCAAGCAATAGTACAGCAACAATAACATTGCAATGTACAGCAACAACAGCACAGTAATAACTGACAGACCAAGGGCAGGAGCTGGACCATCCCTTAGGAACCTGCCAGCTCCGCAGCAATCAGGCCAGACAGCTCCATAGCAGAGGCTTTGTCCTCAGGCCTCTGGACAGATGAATCCACAGCATGAATAGTAGCATTTCTAGAAAAAAAAACAAACAAACTCTTCTCCCAAAATAACATTTAAGAGTATTAAAAAACTCAGTGTAAAAATTTAGCATAGTCAGTACTGGAAGTAGGCTGGTCTTGAACTTAGAGACCTATAGGTCTCTGTTCTAAAGAGCAATCTTGTTTGTCTGTGTCATTATAGTAGGCCTTAGAATTAAACCATTTTAAATCTGGCACAGATGAGATTATTGTTTTAAAAATATGAGAAAACCGTTTTCCTGTTTCCAGCCTGGAGTCCTAAGATGACGTGGCCATTGGGGAACCCATATGGGGATCTGTTTTTTACGGTATGGGCCGTGTTGCCCCAGTGGCGCCTAGGAAAAACCCAGGCCCTGTTTGTTGATATTAGATCTAAGATTTATTGGCTCCCGTATTTCTTGCTGGTACGGTGGCCTCGGGCTCCAGAGCCCGCCCGTCATCCAAGGGCTGTGTGTGGCCCTGGGCCTGCTCGCTGTGCGGATCCCCGTGTCCCGCTGTGCGGCTCCGCCTGTCCCAGGCCAGGAAGTGGCGGCTCCACCCCCAGGTGTCCCTGCCTTCCCCGCGGGGCTAGCCTAGTTCTCTGAGGCTGTGTTGGTGGCGGAGTGTGGCGGGAGCCGACACCCAGACCAAGGCTGCACAGGCCGGCAATAACTCAAGGTCCGCGCCAGAGCTGCTGCGGCTCAAGGGGCCGATGGGAGAGGCGGCGAACAGGGCCGCTTTCCTACTAGCCAACTCTCAACACCTGTGCCACAGCAAAAGCAGCTGTAAACTCTCACAGATCCAGCCAACGACCCAATCACCCCGAAATCCAAGGGCCCTTCGCATCCACCTCCCTGCGGATCCTGAAACATCAGACGAGCCAAGCGTACATACAGCAATCTTTCAGGAGGACTTGAGTTCTTAAAATGCTAAGCAGTTCTTAAAAACTTAAGTCACACTATGTAGATGTAATACGGTACTGCCTGTTTACTGCATTTAAACCTTAATTGTGCTTTTATTATGATAAATATGACCAGCCCTGCCTGAAGTTAGCATCGTTTAGCATAGCCAAATGGAATCAGAGCCATTTTACCCTCAGAGACCCTCACAGTTTTAGGTACATTGTAAGCCTTCTGGCCCGGCTGTCTGTGGCACCGCTCTCATTCTCGGTACAGCTGTGATACCCTCCAGGCCAGGCACCAACTGAGCCGCACCAATTGAGCTGGCGCAACGTGCTCCCCACCATAGCCACAGAGCAAAGCTCCGCTCCAGCCGCCCTCCAGCCCCAGCTGCACCCATTCCGAGCCCAAACCGGTGTACGGAGCAAAGTGGAACTCAGAGAAGCAGGCTTGCTGCTCTGCAAGGACCTCATTTAATCTTTTAGGGAATTTGGGCGTCGTTAGTCTCTGGCTGCTTCCTGCTGTTATTGGGCCGTTGCATTCTTAGGGGTATACACTACAACATTTCAGGAGGTCTCGGTGATTCAAACCACATAAATCCCAAGTACACCCTTAGGCTCTCCCCCTCCGTGGAGACGAAAACAGAACCTCCCTCCCAAAACACCATATCCTCAGCAGTCTCCAAGTTCAAATATCCCTCTCCCATCCAGTACACAAAAGACAACATGAACAACACAACATAAAGCTTTTGACCCTGCAAATCAGCCCTCTCCCCCATCTCCACTCTCCCAAAATCACCGGGAGGTCCTTTTTAACTTATTTTTTTTTCTGTCTCCCCCATTCTTTACCGGAGGGTCCTTTTTAACTTATTTTCTTTTCTGTCTCCCCCATTCTTTAC